CTTTAGTGCGCTTAAACTCCGACTGCAAGCTCACATTCAGATCTGCATCCGTCCAATCCACAATCCAAGTCCCGCTCTACATTTATTCTTATTCAATAATCAGTTTCACTCGGATGTTCATCACAACACAGAACAAAAGATCTGTTGATTGATACTTTAGTTTCATTGCGTTCTTTTAGCATTTTAAGGGGCCATTCACTCAGAACATATTTTTGCATTCCACAGCTTTTCCATTGTTGTTCTAAACATGTGCTAGACAGACGTGTACACTCCTGTTTAGGGTCCAATTTTCACTATTAACTAGTTGCTTATAAGCATCCATATTACTAGGATATTGATTGTTTATTAGTACTTATAAAGCACATAATACCTTATTCTGCATGATCATATTTTTCATCCTTTAATCCTATTATCCTTAACAACTACCTTACTAACTATTAATAAGCAGTATTTAGACGTTTTTTTGAGGCAAACGTCATAGTTAATAGTGAGAGTTGGACACTTTAACTAAAGTGTGACCCAAATTTCTTTATACAAATTTTCCTTCCTTTGCTGGGTTTAATGCTTTTGAGTGCAAGACAAAAAAAATAAAAACTATTTTTAGAAACAAAATGCCTTTTTTAATTTCTGAATTACACTTTTTGTGCATTTAATTGTGGAAAATTTTAATTTTAGACTATGTTAGATTAGAACAGGAAAATATTTATAAAACTAAACTAATTCTAATTGAATGCTATTGTAAAATGTTCATAACCTGTAACTGCACATTCTGTAAAAATAATCAGAACTCAATTTCTACATTTAAATAGCCTAGAGTTAATGAACTCACCACAATATTATTTATTCTGATTATTATTATTCCTAATGTAACTTTTGAACTGAATCGTTGCCTTTTATCATACTGCTATCGCTAATGTTTTAGTTGCTATTGCATTACAGTGATTTTAGTACGGTTAAGCAGACTTTACCTCTTACATCTGGCAAAATCACGGTAACACACAAACTCATCATTGAGTTGTCTTTATAAAGTAAGCTCTGTTGTGGTACCATGGTACAGTCATAGTATCAGATGGTAATATGATATACCATAGTACTGAATGATTACTTCAAAGCCATGGTATGTTTTTTTAATGAGAAAATAAAGTGGAGAACTAGACCATGAAAGATCTAGCTCATTTCTGTTGGCCACTTTACTTCACCCCTCCTAGAATGATTCCGCTTACTCACTCTTTCCTGAAAATTAAGAAAAATCTTCCTAGGGATTTTTTTTGTACAGCCTAAACTGACCGACTTCTGAGCTCAGGAATGAAACCGCTCTGGAAATCAGTCCGTCCTCGAGAGCAAACTCCGTGCAAAACTTTCAGAACAAAAATGATTTCTGGAGCCCTCGGTGACTTTAGCAACTGGTGCATTGCAGCTCCGGACAGATACAAAGTCTTCGTAGTAAGTGAACCGGACGGGCGAGTTGACCTTTGAGCTGGTGTCAGGCGAAACGGCACCGTGTGGCTAGACGGACCACAGCGTTCCCAGCCGGCAGCCGTGGAGTCTGAGCACAAGCGCTCACATTCGAGATGAATCACGCTGATAATAGTCATTAGAGTGTGTTTAATCTCAGATATAGGGCTCGCTCTACAAGCCTGTCTGCACACAGATCTTAGATCAGATTGGTCCTGTTCCTGCTTCATATCACAGGCTGAACTTGTTCAAGATCCTCCCTCAGGGACAGTTAGAAAGATCCAGAGCTGTTGTCCTAAATTTGACATTTGAGATATCAAAGGTATCTCGGGACATGTCAGACTTCACATCGCTGATACGTTCTACACTACAGGCCAAAACTGATCGGGAATACAAGAATCACCAATTAAATCAGCTGGTTAAAGAGCTTCTAATAGTTGTTTTCCAGTGGTAAAGTGACCAGTTTTTCTATAATCTATAGCTTTTCACATTTATGAAATGTCCCATATGTGTCCGCAGTCTGACAGATTTATGCCCACATTAATAAAACTTTACTTCATATACAGTATAATGCATTATAAAATGTGTAATGCATTTATTAAGGCTTGTAATGCATCTTATAATGCATTGTATGGTTTTAGGAATAATTGTAACTGCAGTTATAATACACTATTATACTTATCTAGTCATTGAACACACCTTTAGAAAGTATAAAGCATTAAAACACGACAAAAAAAAAAAACAATTTCAGATGTAACAAGGAGACTGCAAATATCATAATGCATTGTAACTTTGTTTCCAATTTATGAAAATATATAATGCATTATAACATACATTATGAACACCTTTATAATGCATTATACAGAAAGTCTTTAAGTAAAGGGTTACCAAAAATGTTCTAGTTTTTTTTGTCAAGCCTTTTTTTATATATAGTAAACACATCTTTAAATGAATGTGTCTGATATGAAGAGTTTTATTTTAAGATTCAGAGAATAAATATATATTTTTTATTCCATTGGCATATTGGCATTTTTTCTTAAGCATT